GAGCCCGGTGCGGGGCTCGATCCCAGGACTCTGGGATCATGACCTGAGCCGAAGGCAGACGCTTAACCGACTGAGCCACCCAGGCGCCCCGAATTTTGTTTTTTAACAGATTGTTGGCTCATATGGTCTATTTTGCTTGCCTACTTGGGTGTTTTAGATTTGATGAAATTTGGTACTAAATGCTGCAGTCACCGTGAACATATGTCTTCGTGCCATTTGATCAAATAGCCCTTCGGAAACCCGGAGAGGTTCATCTTAACCAAAAAAAAATTTTTTTTAAAGATTTTATTTATTTGACAGCGGGAGACCAGCTGACCTCTTAGCTCGGGCAACAGAGCGGAGGGGCGGAGTATCCCGTGATGGGAAGTGGAACCACCCTCAAGCATTAACGACCGCCCAGACCCTCTGAACTTACCCCGACTCCGCAGGTGGGCCACGGAGTGACCCACGCAGTGACTGACAGTCACTTGTACATCCTTATCATCCTGAAATCTGCCCACGGAGGGGTACAGGGCTCGTTTCGTAACGCGCAGTGTGCGTCTAGGCTTGTTTCCGGCACATGTTCAATCTCACGCCACCTCTACATTCAATGAGGAGGCCCATCTTCCCCAATATTCACCCTAAGCCTAAATAAAAGCAACCCATCCCCCCTTGCCTGGGGAGTCATGGCTTTGGAAGTTATCCGCCTGACCTCCTTATTTGCGGCAGATAAACTTTCCTTTGTGCGACAACTCACCTGGTGCAGTTCTTTCTTATTTGGGAGAGAAGAGGGACAAGCGACTCCGTGCTGAGCGCCCAGCCCAGGGCGGGGCTCGATCCCACGATCCCACGACAGGAGATGATGACCTGAGCCGAAATCCAGAGCCAGGCGCTTAACCGACGGAGCCCCCTGGAGCCCTTGCCGTCTGTGACTCCCCGAGAAGTGAACTCACGCATGAGTTGCGTTCCAACGATAGAGGTTTTCAGTGTGTATTCCGTCTGCTTTCAGATGTTATTCCACATGAGAGAAATCCAGGCCTCCTATTTCCCTTTGATTTGGGTTGCAGCCCACAAATACATTGATTAGTGATGAGGGAGCAGAAGGCTCGCTGAGGACAAAGCAGCAGCTGACCCCCTACACCTCCCCCCCCCCATGTGGTATGTGTGACATTCCTCAGGCACTCCCGGCTGCCCTAAAGGAAAAACGAATGGTTAACTGATAAGATCACAGTCCTGCAGGACAGGAGTCTCCCTCAGTTTACAAATGTCCTAGTGATTTACAAGGAAGCTTTCTCATCAATAGCCTAACTCCCAGAGACCCATAACTCGGTTCCTGAAGCCCTAACATCACCCTCCCCTCCATAAAATTAAGGGAGGCTGAGGCGGAAGGAAATGCAAATAAAATTGAATTTCTTCTAAACCTGAAGCCCATTGACAAGGACGTGTGATAGGAGGAATGTAACATTCCTCCAGGAAACCCCCATCTGTCTTCCCGTTCGTGCCTCATTAGAGGGGAAAACAGCCTTGGCTTGACGATAACTAGGCCTCCAGTACCCCGAGAGTCTTTAGCATACAACAGTCCTTCTGGACTCTCACCTCCCCAGCTCCCAAGTATAAAGTCAACCACACCTCACAAACCGGAGCAGCTCTTTCTGCCCATGGGTCCTGTCCCCGGGGTTTAATAAAACCACCTTTTTGCACCAGAGACGTCTCAAGAACTCTTTCTTGGTCGTCGGCTCCGGACCTCACATGGCCGAACCTCATATATATTCTAAAACTTCATCATTACGGGACATAAAGGGAAAGGAGCAGAATCCAGCCAAGGCAAGGGCAGGTCATCAGGCTAAAGGAAGGATTGATCATCGTCCTTCCCTCTTTCCTCCATCCCCTTCCCCCTCAATCTTCCCACCACAACCACATGGTTTTCTTACTGTCTCTCTGCACTATTATAAAAAGTCCTCATCAAGCCTATGGAACTTGAAATGAGTAGATTATCCAAACTGTAATGGATATATAAATATCTACAAATAAAAGAAAAAGTGCTCAATTACATTAACACAGAACATTAGATTTAAAATGAAAAAACCAAAAGCCTTAAAAGTAAAGAGAGAGCTTTCATTTGCTTTAAACTTTTTGTTTAGAAATATTCTGTGTATCATTTAGAAATATAATGCACATTTCAGATTTTTTATTAATACAGACCCATTACTGTACTATTACTCACAAAATATTAGCATTAAGTAGTGAGAAGTAGCAGAATAGGCCACCCCAAAATGTTCCATTCTGGCATAAGGTTGATTTTGAGCTGAAGGCATTTGAGATGAAGCAGATAGAAGAAACGCCCTTTGTCTTCCTGCTTATTTCCCTAAAAGCAGGAAGTAGATTTACAAAGCTGTCCCTCCTTCCCTCTCTACCTGGAAGGACAAAGGTTAATCCCAGTGTCAGAGTAGGCAGTTAGTTTAGGCTCTAACAGGATGCCCGGAGGCCAGCAAGGAGGTGGCTGTGGCCGGCTGTGGGGAAGGTCAGAGGCCTGTCCTGGCAGCGTCCACGAGAGGCCGGATCCCACCAGACAGGCCCAAGATGGCGGCGCCACGACAGGAAAGCCCTGAGCAAGTGAGGAAGAAAAAGCTCAAAACCCTGTTTCCAGCCCCAAGTAATAAATATTCTGTCCCCTAGCTAACAACTGTCAATAAAAGATAGAAACCCAGCCCGCAGGACGCACAGTTCTCTCTCTTGAGCTCACCATGCTCTCTTATATTGAGAGTGTACTTTTGCTTGAATAAACTTTCCTGCTTGTACCCCTCATACACTGTGTTGTGTCTGCCCTTGAATTCTTTCTCGTGAGGAGACCAAGAGCCTTCTGCGATATCTTTAATGTGGGTTGGGTCCAGACCTCAGGGCCCAGGGTCTCCCAGTTCACCCAGCAAAACCAGTAGACAGCTTTAAACCCTTATCAATGGAGAAGGTGCCAACTTAAAATCTGCCTAACAAACTTTATTCTTGTTTTCCTGGTAACCTTCCCATAACTGACTTCCTTGCACCTTTTGTCTTCGGTTTATAGGGGCCGAGGGCAGGATGCCCCAAAGATGTGCCACTTTGCCGAGATTATGCTGAGCTGAAGACAATAAAGACCGTGTGGTCTTGAGAGAAACTTTTGTCCCTCCCTTAACTGCATAAAAGAATCTAATTTGGGGTCTTTCCCAGAAGAGGATTATGAACAGAGATAAAAGTTATCTGAGTGACCCATCTGTTCGGCAGGGCAAACATCTAATTACAAAATACCTGCTCTTCTTACTGCCCCATGCAGGTCATCCCTTCTCTTCGAAACCCCAGACCCCTTTTCCTTAGTTCAGAATGAGATAGATGCCTTCTTCTGCCTGTCTTTGGAATTTCCAGGTCTGTGTGGATTCCCTGTACAAATGCTATTAAATTAGATTTTTCTCTTGTTAATCTTTCTCATGTCAATTGGATTCTTAGTCCAGCCAGAAGGACCCTTGAAGGGGACAGGAATTCTTGCTCCCTGACAAGCTGAAGACGGTATTTAAGCGGTATTTCTAAGGCACCTTGGGGGTTCCTCGTTGTCCCCAGTGTAGCTTCCATGTGTACATGAGGTACACATGTTAGAAAGGAGACAGCAGGCCCCAGATGGAGTCAGTTGTATAAACCCGACATCAGCAAAATAAGATTTAACACCTAATCTCATCATAGTCTCACTCCCAGATTCCCACGCCCACCCCCAGGAATGTAACCTTTCACCAAGTGCAATTAACCTAGACTGCTAGTGAGATAATCCACCCAGTGGCCCGTTCAATCCCTTTAGGAGGACGACCTTGCCTGAAACAATGCATTTTTTGCTAGTAATTTCCTTTTTCTGCCACCTTTCCACCTTTAAAAGCCTTTTCTATAGCTCAGCGGAACTCCTTTCTATTGCTGGATGGAATGCTGCCTGATCCAGGAATCATTGAATAAAGCCAATTTGACCTTTAAATTTACTCAGTTGAATTTTTGTTGTTTAACAATGTTAATAAACTTCTGTGCTGTGTGTGTTTTTCTCTTGGGACAACTGTCTTTTATTACAGGGATCTCAGCCAAACACTCAGAAGAGTAGAGGAAAAGTCATTTTTCTTTCCCTATCATGGGAAGACATATTTAAGGACAGAACAATTAAATAATGAGTAAAATTATTTGGGTCACACAGCTTCTATAAAGCCCATCAAAAATCAAATATTCTACTGGGGGTGGGGTGGGGTGCATCTGAGTACCTATCATTGTTAGATCCTGTTGTCAGCATTTATTTTTATTCCAAGAAGTCACATGTATACCAGGATTAGAAGTAGTTTTTACCTTAAAAAGTAGTATTTTACCTTAAAAAAAGTAGTTAATGCTGCCTTGTCTTTGCCCCCTGCTCAAAATAAAGCTGTTACCTTTCTAGCCCTGTCCGCCATGGTGCTTAGCAGCCAGGGATGCATGGTCTCAGACATGTTTACCAAGTAAAACACTGACTTGAGGGGCGCCTGGATGGCTCAGTCATTAAGCGTCTGCCTTTGGCTCAGGTCATGGTCCCAGGGTCCTGGGATGGAGCCCTGCATCGGGCTCCCTGCTCAGTGGGGAGTCTACTTCTCCCTCTCCCACTCCCCCTGCTTGTATTCCCTCTCTCGCTGTGTCTCTCTCTGTCAAATAAATAAATAAAATCTTTAAAAAAAAAAAAGTAGTTAAGTACAAGAAATAGGAAAAAGGGTATGAATATTAATACGACATATTAATAGACTTTAAGTGTTAAAGAAATCCCATATAGGAAGGGGTGCTTTCAGGGAAAAATTATAATTAGGTTGAAAAGTCATGGGTAGGTCAACCAAATTTTAGAGTAAGGGTTTTTAACCTGGAGTCCATATACGCCAAAATACCTCCAAGGATAAAAATCGTCAGTGCATGGTTGGGCGGGGGGTGGTAGTGAGGAGAAACCCCATGAGTTGGGATGGGGAAAAATATAATTTACTTTTGACTGATCTTTAGCATTTCCCTTTATAATGAATTTAGGCCACAACCTTAGTACCTGTGAGTTTGTCACCCAATGGAAATCACAGATAATCTCATTTCTCATAACAATTGCCAAAGTATCTTGAACCATTATTTTACTTGTCTAATTATTGATAGCACTTAGGCTCACCAAGATTGTATTATGTAATGTGTTCACTGTTTAGGCACATGTCAGTCCTAGCAACTTTATTCTTAAAAATATGTTGATAACTAATGGTTTTTTTTTTTTTTTTGCAATTTTTGCATTTTATGCACTTCAGATATTATTCTGAGAATGATTTCCATAAATGTCACTAGGCAAAGGTGTCCATGACATTCAAGAAAAAACCGCTAAGAATGTTTTTTCCCCCCTTTTTGAGATGACATCATCAGTGAACAGAGAGTAGGAGGCAAGATTCTGTGCCCTGGGGAATAAAAACCGTTGGCAGGGGTTTTCCTTATTTCCTTACAAAAGCAACAAAAGTTAGGTGTGATGCACATCAATCGACCTTCCTCCATACCTAACCCTGCCAGCTGGGAGGAGACCAAGGCTCGTCAGGAGCCCACCACACACTCCATTCCTAAGCAGCCCTTTGTCAAAGCACACCAGAATCCTCTACTTACAGTGTTTTCCTCACTCCACTTGCACCTTTAAGTCTGTAACGCAGAACAGCCTTTGGGATTAGCAACACTTCACACTTCAATAGCACTAGTTATGGGAAACATTCCTTATATGTAAAGGTGTGACAAATTACGCTGAGGCAACAGCCTTGACTTCAGGCTCATCCCAAATGTGAGAAACTTTTCTCGGGCTCCAGAATGGTGTCATAGCTACCCATGTAATCCCAGTAGTTTATCCATTTGGCAACATCGAGGGTGGAGGAGGGCAGTGCCTCAAAGCCTATGTATTGTTAGGAAACTGGATGCGACTCTTGGCAGCCTTTGGATGGGGGAAGACTATCCTGCAGTGAAGCTCTCCATGGGCCGGTAGGGGACCGGATGTCCTTGGGCATGATGGTGACGCGCTTGGCGTGGATGGCGCACAGGTTGGTGTCCTCGAAGAGCCCCACCAGGTAGGCCTCGCACGCCTCCTGCAGGGCCATGACGGCCGAGCTCTGGAAGCGCAGGTCGGTCTTGAAGTCCTGCGCGATCTCGCGCACCAGCCGCTGGAACGGCAGCTTGCGGATCAGCAGCTCGGTGGACTTCTGGTAGCGCCGGATCTCGCGCAGGGCCACCGTGCCGGGCCGGTAGCGGTGCGGCTTCTTGACGCCGCCGGTGGCCCGCGGCCGGCCGCTTGCTGCGCCGACTGCTAAACTCAGCCAGCTAAGCTTTTGTGCACCAGAAAATTTCATTAATTGACAAAAGCTAATAGCTCCCTGTGGACGCACACTGACTAGGTAAACAACTCAACAAGGCATGTAAGGAGTCTGTTTTCCAATTACCACAAATTCTCAGATGGGGGAAAACCTATCGTTCATCGCAGGTTTAGGCTTTAATGTAGTGTTCTGCTTTCAACCCGGGATAGAGGATAGATGAGAATGGCTCAAGTTTTCTACGTCCCACTTTTTCTCATTTAGTATAAAACAAATGTTAAAGTTCTTTTCCAGAAAATATAGGTGGCCCTGAAAAGAGCCTTTGGTTTGGACTCGACTTACTCGAGCTACCGTAAATGGTCATTTAGACCACTACTTGCCCTTGGCCTTGTGGTGGCTCTCGGTCTTCTTGGGCAGCAGCACGGCCTGGATGTTGGGCAGGACGCCGCCCTGCGCGATGGTCACGCGGCCCAGCAGCTTGTTGAGCTCCTCGTCGTTGCGGATGGCCAGCTGCAGGTGGCGCGGGATGATGCGCGTCTTCTTGTTGTCGCGCGCCGCGTTGCCCGCCAGCTCCAGGATCTCGGCCGTCAGGTACTCCAGCACGGCAGCCAGGTAGACGGGCGCGCCGGCGCCGACCCGCTCGGCGTAGTTGCCCTTGCGGAGCAGGCGGTGCACGCGGCCCACCGGGAACTGCAGGCCGGCCCGCGACGAGCGGGACTTGGCCTTGGCGCGGGCCTTGCCGCCTTGCTTGCCGCGTCCGGACATCACAGACTCGGAATGGGAGTGCCAAGACAAGAACACTATTCGTCTGGCAAGACAGACCTAACAGTGAAGTAGGTAGAAACGTCGCTGCTTTTATAGGCATTTCCTGGGGAGTAAGTCCGGTTGTCTGATTGGCTAGTAACAAGACTCAGTCAAGTAGCCAATAGAAAAGCTCTATTTCCATACCTCATTTGCATAGTTCGGCCCATGGATGACTGCCTTGCTGCTTGTCTTCCAATGAACTAAGACGCTGTCTGCATCCTTCATTAGCATAAAAGCTCTATAAGTAGCAGAGATTCGCTTTCTACCTTCATTTCACTTCGTGTGTTCTGAGGCTTTAAAATGCCTGAACCCGCCAAGTCGGCTCCGGCCCCGAAGAAGGGCTCCAAGAAGGCGGTGACCAAGGCGCAGAAGAAGGACGGCAAGAAGCGCAAGCGCAGCCGCAAGGAGAGCTACTCGGTGTACGTGTACAAGGTGCTGAAGCAGGTGCACCCCGACACGGGCATCTCGTCCAAGGCCATGGGCATCATGAACTCGTTCGTCAACGACATCTTCGAGCGCATCGCGGGCGAGGCGTCCCGCCTGGCGCATTACAACAAGCGCTCGACCATCACGTCGCGGGAGATCCAGACGGCCGTGCGCCTGCTGCTGCCGGGGGAGCTGGCCAAGCACGCCGTGTCCGAGGGCACCAAGGCCGTCACCAAGTACACCAGCGCCAAGTGAACAGTGAGTTGGCGGCAAATTGGAAACTAACGGCTCTTTTAAGAGCCCCCATATTTTCAAAGAGAGCTGCTGCTTGCTTTTATTCCGTGCTGGGCTCCTGTAACTTTACAGTAATGGCTCTGCGAGGTACGGCAATCACCGAACAATGTCAGACTTTTCCTGTCGCGATAACTAAGCGACAAGAAACGTTACCAGGTCCTGGCAAAGCTCTGTAACTCCTTTGTGCAAAGCAACCGCTCTGAGCTTGTCACTGCCCCTTGGGAACTATTTTCAAAAGGGCTCTGCCACCGGCTCTGGTAACCATTAGGATTAAGTAACTGGCAGAGAAAGCTAAGCTCGAAGCAAATTCAAATACACCCCGGTTACCTGTCGAGAGTAAAGAGCTGGGCGCGGCCGCGGGCGCAGGGGTTGCGCGGGCCGTTTGAATTTGCCGCCCTTCCTTTCCGCGCCCTGATTGGTTGCCGGCGCCTGCGAAGCGACCGCGGGTTTGGATGCGCGGAGGCCCCGGCCACTCCGGCCCCCGAGCCCCGCACACAGCAGCCGCTGGAGGAGACATTCTCCCGAGTCTGGGCTGCTTTTCATTCTCCTCGTCCTTAGCGTTCTGTCCTTGTAGGAATGACGTTTATACTTTTCCTCTTGGAATTTTCGTTGGAGAGAAAGGAATTTGGAGGGTGTCATCTTCAGTGTGAGAAGTACCCATGCTTTATTTCTAATTAGGGTGCCGCTTTCCCTTTGCCGTAGATCCATATAATGGAAAATACAAGACGAGACAGGACTGGGTTTGGGGGGGGGGGCGGTCAAATGAAGGCAAAGAAGCTTGATGGCTATCCTAGACTGTCCTGAAACAAAAATCAGTAACTATTGTAAAGTTCCTTTTGTTGGTATTTTAAATCCTATGTTTGACATTGCCTGGAACCAGTGAGGAAGAACACACTCCGTGTCAGTTAGGTTGTAAATAAGAACCCGTCACCCAACAATAGTATGTCTGCATTATAACTATTCCATATTCTGTATCTCTTAGCTTAAAAGCCACGATCTATAAAGCATTTGGAAGCTTCCACTATGGCTAGTTTGGGGTTTAGGTAATTTTAAATGGATTTAATTTAAATACATTATTTAGTTTATCTAAAACGGATCTAAATTTAATACAGTGGTAATGCCTTAAACAATATTTTGTTAAATCCAGTGTCAAATATACACTTCTTTGTTGATTCAAATCCTACTCATGTTTCAATGCCCACTTCAATCTTGCCTGCTCTCTGAAATTTCCTTCCGTTTTTGAGCTTCTTCTAACAGTTTGTCCAGCATTTGGGACTGCCTCCATATATATGGATATATGGATTTGAATTGCTACTAACTGGTTTGTTGTATGTTTCCATGTAGAGAATATACAGTCATGAAAGGAAAAACAAAGAAAGAAAAGAAAGTTCTTTCCTTCATCTCCATCCCACACTAATGATAAGTGAGTATCTGTAAATAAACAGAACATAGATAATTTTAGTCACTTCTGTTGTATGAGACCCCGACCCTCTCCATTAATCCAAATAGTCAGATGATAATTTCCAAGCTAAATACTTTTTTTGTTGTTTGTCTTATAGGATATAGAAATCAGAATAAAAAGCCAGAATTTGTGAGAAAAGGACAGGGATTGAGACAGAAGATAAATCATAGGCAATAGTCCATTCCCAGATGAAAATCTGTAAAGACTGTTTTCGAAACTACGATGTTGAAAAGATCCCAGCTAATTCTCCTATTACTCAGAAAATTAGACTGCTTAAGCTGCAAACAAATCAGGTAAACAAATCAAATTTTCATCTTTGGGGTAATCTGCACCTTGATGGAGTCCCCTTGTAAATAAGGCAAAGTTTTGTTTTAATCCTTTCCTTGAAAAACAGTTATCACTTTAACCATTGCTAATCAGCTTCAGAAAAGCTGGTTCAAAGCTAAACTAACACAGTATATCATTACAAAAAATGTGCACTGTGAAATATCATATCACAAAATAGATATTTGTTGCTCAAAGTACTTAAGACTATTTGCCAGGTCTTCCCCAGAAATCACAAACCAGAATGATGCCTAGAACATTGTGTTAGAACTAGCTGTTTGTATGTAGCCTTTTTTCCAGTTATATCAAATGATAATGTTTCATTTTTCTACTGTGTACATATTTCTTTTTAAACTAATCTCCAACCGTTGTTGAAATCAAGGCACCCATTCCCTAGGGAATTAATAGAGCCCCACTAAGAAAGTCTATGGAAAGATCAGTGGCCCTATATCTAGATACCATGCAGATATCTATTCTTCCATTATACCTTTGGTGTGTTAAAGTTAATTCCATTGTAATATAACTTTGGTTAATTTTATTTTCAAGTTTTGATAATATATGGTAAATATCCAATTAGTAATAACTATATTTACAAACTATCCATTGATTTGAATGACTTCTTCTAAGCTTTAATTTCGAAGTGTCACTTTTCTTGATATTGCCCCCAAATGTTAGATATGCAACTCTCTTTATAGAGTTTGCATTGCATGAAGACATATTTGCATTCTGCACATAAAGTAGAGCAGAATTTTTTAATTTTAATAATAAAAAAGGGATTCCTGAAGAACTTGTTTTGCACATTATTAATATTTTTTCTCATCTTTATAAGTGAATCTGTTCTCATTTACTATGGAAACTATACTCTACACTTGACATTGGGAAACCCGATGAACATGTGGTTTGTGCTCTTGCACACCATCAGATCTACAAAACTATGATGTATACATCAGTATTTGATTGTCACATGGAGGGCGCCTGGGTGGCTCAGATGGTTAAGCGTCTGCCTTCGGCTCAGGTCATGATCCCAGGGTCCTGGGATCGAGTCCCACATCGGGCTCCCTGCTCCTT